GTATCTAAATTATACAGAAAGAAATTCATTGATAATAAAAAAGCCTACTTAAAATACATAAACCAACTTTATCTATGAGACCAGTAGTTTCATCTTTATGCCCTCCTAATGGACCAATAGCACAACTCCTTATTGAAATCTTAACTGCTTATAATTTAAACAACAATATTTACATTAAAGATTCCCAGCAATATATGTTCCCATAAAAATCAAAGCCTCCCCCATGGCGCAATTTTTGCACCTCAGACGTAACTGCGGTTAAAGTGAAATGCACATGGGGAAAGGGCAAAAATAGAGAGTTGATACACCTCTCATCGCATCGATCTACCTATCCTTAGATGCAGCCACCCTACTACCAACAAAGGAAATGAAAGATCTGGTGGACCATTGTCTCAATCAGAAGATAGAACTTATTATCAGCTGCGATTCGAACTCTCATTATTTATTCTGGGGCAGCAGAGATAACAACGCTCGAGGTAAGTCTCTTTATGACTATATTATTAGAAAAGATTTGTATATCTTAAATAGAGGCACCGAACCTACCTTTATTAATATTCGTAGCCAAACAGTCATAGACATCACGCTAGCAACAGCTGAAATATCTAATAAAATTCAGAACTACTAAGTATCGGACGATACCTCTATGTCTGACCACCGCTGGCTAACCTATAATATTAGTCTGGAAAAAAGCCTTATCAAATCGCGCGACCCTAGGAGGACGGATGTAGAAATATACAACCGACTCTTAGAAGATGCTCTGCAGAATGAAAAGGCTTCAACTCCAGGAACTAATACAGAATTGGAAAGGTAACGGTATCTATCCAAAACAAAATAAGCTTTGCTTATAAAAAATCCTGTCCAATAAGGATGGTCCAGGAAAGTCGCAAAACCAACTCTTGGTGGTGCACTGAATTGGAACACCTTAGGAAGATAACAAGATTAGCTTTTAATAGAGCAAAACGCACCAAACTCAAAGAGGATTGGGATTCTTATTAATCAAATCTCAGACAGATTAAAAAAGTCTGCAGACAAAGACAAAGAGCTGCTAGGAAAACCTTCTGTAAGGAAATCGAAGATTTTCCGCAGGCTTCCAGACTACAAAAAACGCTCTCAAAGGACCCACATCGGCAAATCGGCATATTAACAAAGGAAGATAAAAACAAAACTTCCAACCTTTGCGAAAATGCTGAGGTCCTAATTAAAATACTCTTTCCCGGTTCTAGTGTCTCAACTGCACCAAACAGGATGGAAGAAGCAATCAAACCCTCAATAAACGACTGGCATCTCTCCAGAATTAATGATTACTGAGGTAAAGGGCCATATTGGGCTTCACCCCTTTCAAATCACCAGGGTGTGACGGCATTTATCCAGCCCTACTACGGTGGGGACTGAATATCCTTCTACCGCACCTCTTGGAGATATATTCCTAGGAAGTGGAGAGAGGTACATGTGGTCTTCATACCAAAACCAGGTAGGATGAACTACACTCTACCAAAGGCTTTGGTAGAGTGGAAAACGATGAAAAGGCTATGCAAGAGGTACATGAAGTTCTGGTCCATAACCCACTTCACCCAAATCAGCATGCATATACTTCGGGAAGATCTACCGATTCTGCACTGCATCATGTACTGGGAAGAATTGAAAGACCGCTGGATAATAAAGAATCTACCCTAGGTATATTCATAGACATTGAGGTATCGTTTGATAAAACCACATTCCCAACAGCTAAACGTCAGGAATGTTTCCCTGGCAGTAAGCAAATGGAGATTCAGTATGCTCTGCAAAAGAACAATACACAAAGACCATACTATGGATTTTGATAACATTAAAATTTTGTATGTTGAAAATAATAAATTTAAAAGAACCTTATTAGAAATGGTTTGTATTAGCGGGGATAATAATAATTTAAACAAAAGATCAGAAATTCAAAATCTAGGCAAAATTTATAATTATATATTTCTCTATACATCATTTATAAAACCAGGTAAATATCACATTTTTAATTTAATTTTTCGTATACTTTTTTTACGTTTACATACAGTTTTTTAGGTATCTGTGAATAATAAATAAATCTTCTTTTTAATTCTTAAATAAAAAAGAATATTTAACAAAATATTAATTTTGGCAATATATTTGTTAAAAATAAATTCAAATACAAACTCTCAACAAAAGTTATTTGTTGCTATTCTAAATTATTTATAATTTATCAAAATTCAATTGTTTTTTGTTTAAATAGTTTTTTCATATTTTTGTATATTTTTTTACAATAGTATTTTAAGTATGTGTCTAGCAGCAAAATTTTATTAACTAACCTAATTTTATTTGATGAGTTACTACTTTTTTTGCAATTATTAGTTCCACTTTATAAGATATCTTATATACTAAAAGGCTAAGCCCTTTTCTTGTGCGCAATACTCCTCCTAAACGGCGATAGAAAGGAAAATAATTTTTTCGAATAATTAAACAGATTGTTGAGTAGATTCCCCCTAAGGTTTCAAATTTCAAAAATTCGAACCGGTTTAAAAATGGCGGCCATAAAATGAATTTTTCCTTTAGTAAAGTATAGGAATTTTACAGGTTTCATTCTTCAAAATTTACAGTCCTAATTTTCAATGTATTTTTAAAATATGACCGCGTCTACTTTTTTCTTATACTTACTGATTGAATTCAGAATTATGAAACCGGAAGTATTTACTTCCCTACTTCCGGATTTAGTTTTGAAAATTATGGTTTCTTTCATGGTGTTCCAGAGCATATGGACGGGGCCTGAGTTCTCAAACCGAGTTCTTTTTCTTAAACGTGACATTTTACAATCTAAAATATGCAAAAAAAGTTATTTCCGGTTTTACTTCCGTTTTTTATTTAAGAGGGGCGGAGTCTAACAATCATATTGTTTCCGTTTCCTAATGTAAATCTTCCTGAAAATCCTAAAAAAACTACTGTATCGATTTTCAATTTAAAAAAATTGGCGTCGATACAGTTTATTTTTAGGATTTTTGGAACAGGCGGGTTCTACTCCGCCCCTCTTAAATATCAGCAAAACTTACATCAAAACTCGATGTCGAGTTGGTCCACTAGTTTTGTTTTATTTTAGCTCTTGAAAATAATTGTAAACACAATTGAAAGCTAGAGTATAAAAAATAGTTCCTTTTTATTGACTCCATCCCCTCCAAACATATTTATATATTGTTTCCAAATGAGTCAACAAGTACCTATTTTTCTTACTCGTATATAATATAGACATAAAAATATTGTTAAAAATATTTGTATAACCAAACTTTACAATAACAATGTCCGCTACTAATAATCCGTATAAATAAATGATTTCATGGTCTTCGTAAATTACAATTTTTTTCGATGTCTCTGTATTATTTTTAATAATAAATTCTCTATCCAAAGTAACCATCCTTTTAGATGATTTATTAGATAATATAATAATATTGTTATAGACTACTAATGAAAATAATTCATATATTATTTGTTTGCGTATTGTATTTTTCATATACTACTACATATTATAAATTAATCTAAATCTAAATAATCGCATGCTACTTGTTTAAACTTTCGTAAGCAACATAAAAATAGTGTGTGTGGTTAAACAATAATTTACTACAATTTAGGTGTAATCTTTTGCGGTTTCGATGGTTAAATTCGACAATAATGGAATTTTAACGACAAAAGATTAGTCATTTTTAGAAGAATTGCTAGTATACTCGTATAGACTGCATTTTAAAACAAACAAAATAATTTGTGATTGTCGCAAAATTTTTATTGACTGTTGAGTAATATGAGTTAATTGTATTGGTGTACTATTGTTAAAGAAATCGTAGAAATGATGGTAACGGATGTTAAAAAGGGAATCCCCACATTTAACTCATAAAAATTATTTATATCATTGCAATTTTATACCATTCGGTAAATAAGAAATGCAAAGTTAAGGTAAATTACTTTTATCCAAAGCAACTGTTAATACCGCAATATGTTTCCTAATACCCTATTTGTTATAATTATCTCCTATAGTCAATTATAAGGATATACGATCTACATATTCTACATAAATTGATGTTTCAGAAAATATATTTCGCTATGTACCTTTTCTTCACGCTTAACTAACATTTTTGGTGAAACAGAAACATGGCGAATGGGTGATTTGGTGTTTAGTCTATTTTATATGTATATGTTCTTTTCACACTTCCTGGCATCAACTTCACTATATACATTTATATACGTTTCTGCTTTAGTTTTTTCTGCTACTTTCAGTTGCTTTTTGTAGATCTTATAATTTTGAAAATCTGTGCTAGACATATTTTTTTTATTTTATCTAACTTGTTTATAGTCCATGTCATTATCTGGGGCCAGTCTATTAAAATGATATGACACATGGATTAATTGCCTTCGTTATTAAGTAAAAAGGTGTTTTTTTTTAGATATTAATGGTGTTTAAAAATCTTCCAAATGAACCTAAACCCTCCTTATTTTTCAGTTTATTTCTCTGAATTGGTTACTTTTATTTAATCTGATAAGTGGTCATAAAAAGACATATTGTTGGATCTGCTCTGTATTTGTCCCGCTCATATTAACTTCCAATGTGTCGTCTACAATAAATATATGTATTTCCCTAGGGCATAGTTTTCGTCCTTTTTTTTCTAGATCTTATACCAAGTTCTCCGTTAGTTATTAGTAACATTAATAATATATTATTAGCGAATCTCAAATTGTTAAAATGTTCACCAATTGTCATTTATAGATATGTTTCATCAGAGCCATAACATGGATTACAGATACCATGGAAAGGATTGCATATAGAAATAGAAATAGAAATAGGGCGATAATAAATGACACTATGTGGACTAAACGCTTAATAGAGCGGCGCCGGCGCTCCAGATTTAAACCGTATCGCGTAGGTGTAGATCTCCTCCACGATGGACTTCTCTCTAAAGAAGGTTACAGTAAACTGAATTTACACGGCACACGATCGATCGGGAGCATTAGACACAAACCTAAGGAAGCCCTATGTTCAGCAGTGGGAGCTACATGCTGTGTAATATTGGTGATAATAAAAATTATCATTTTCTATAGCGAAGATTTCTCCTTCAGAAAAGATGGACATCTATACGAATTTGCTGGTCAGAGCTAGATTGAAATATTATTATACAAAATTTTAACGTAACTTTTAGATAGGAAATTTAATTGCGAACAATTTTATTTCTATTTACTTTCATTGAAGATATCATACTTTCTCAGATATTTAGGACATCTCCTAAATATTTTAAATCTATTTTTTATACTGAGAAATAAGGTTCTGTCATATTGATTTTTATAATAAAATTTTTCCTTAATTTTCCATATGTTTTTCAACTAGTACATATTCAAATTAGAGGTAAAAAAATCTTCTGGATACATTACCATCAAAATTTATAGTTCGATTTACAACCAACCAACTAGTGTTATTGTATACATATCCTGATTGGACTAACCGCTTTGTCTTCTTTTTAATTGCCGTATTACCAGACTTCAGTAAGAGTATAAGAAGGTATCCATTGAATTCTGGCAGGCAGCGGTGAGGGAAATCTTTTTAAGACATCTAATGTAATCACGGAGCAAGATATCTATCAGGATCAAGAGACCTATCACCATAATCAGAAAAAATCGGACCCATAACAAAGGAGATATGATGTAACGCCCTTTTGGCAATGCCGAATTGTGTGTTTTTCTGTCTCAACATATTTGCTACCCCCTCTCTTCTATTCTAGTCCCACCACAAAACGCTCAAAAATGAGCAGAATAAACCTTAGCATTGCTTATGGGATTATACATGGGAAATAAAGCAAAAACGGTGTAGAAGCTATTTTACAGGTTTAGCTTTTACTTAATTTATTTAATTTTACTTTGTCACTATTACTAATTTTATTTAATTAATATTTAATTTTACGTAATTATGTTTAACTCAATTTAATTTTATTTAATTTTTATTTATTCTTATTTGGTTTTATTTAATTTTATTTAACTTTATTTAATTTTATTTAATTTTATTTTAATTTTTATTTATTTTATTTTTATTTATTTAGGACAAATTATGCAGATAGAAGAAAGAAAAAATTTGGTATAACCATCGAAATACAAATTTTTTACCGTTTTAGAAGGTCTGTCCCTATAATGTGTCAGTGTGTCACCCAAGACATCAATATGACGAAGAGAATATCTTTGGTATCCAACAAAATGTGCAATGGGTTGGAAAACCTAGATTGGAAGATTGTGAGAAACATGGTTGAGGTGATTTTTCGAGAGACTGGCATACAAATTACCGTGTATCGATTCTGCTTTTCCCATATGTATATTTATATATAGTATGTTTTATGTATATTTTATAAAAAAATTAATTACCAATAATTAATTAATTAATTAAAAATTATATATATTATGTATATTTTATTAAAAAAATAATTTTTAATATTTCTTTTAACTACTATGTTTAATTACATTTAATAGCAATTACCATTATTTAAAGTAGTGTATGGCCTCCATTATATTTAAAGGAATGGATACACTAAACCAGTTCTAGGAAAATGTTAATAAAGGTTATTAGTAATTTAATAGTTCAGTTCAAATGCAAATGATACTTAATCTATCCGTATAAATAAGAGGTGGCAAAAATGAATTTTTTTATGCCCAGTTTATTTAATTAAGTATCCTTTTTGTTCTATTTTACAACATTAAATAAAAATAATATACAGTGTAATTATAAAAACATTATAAATAAATAAATACATTATAAATAAAAATGATTTACACAATAATTATTGTGCACAATAATTTGTGAAAATATTTTGTGATCATTCAAGTCCAAATATTAGTTATGGCCCACACGAAGAATATGATCATATAAAATAAGCAAAAGTAATCTTAAAGGCACGCGTGTACCTGACGGGACTGGCCGGCAACGGAAAGCACGGCTACAAACTGGAATTATATGCCGTAACATGCATTTAACCCTCCTGTACTAACCTGGTTAGAAATTGCCGAAATTACATACATACACCCTTACTAACTACTACTTATTTAGTGTTTATCAAAAATTAAACACTGAGTTATATGCTTTTATGGTTTTATTATACTGCATGAGCAAAATGTTAAAAATAAACAATTCATAAACAAAGAAACCAATTAAAAAAGAAGAAGCTTATTTCTACGTAAATATAATTAAAATATTTCAATAAAAGTAAAATAAACATATTAAAAAAAATCAGTTTTTGATATATTTTAGAAGCTAAACTAAACGTTAATACAATAAGAAATAAATGTCAAACTGAATATTTTCACCTGAACTTAGATGTCTATACAACTAGTCTACGATCTCGGTAGATCATCGGTATCATCTAGCGGTTACTTTCTTCACAAGTAGTTAATAAATGTTCCCTAACACATATACTTGGGGCACTTGTAGCAACATTAATGAAATTTGCGATGTTTTTACTTGAACAGTAAGTATACCTTCCATGTGTAACATCTCTATTTTCATAAGCAGTAAAGATGTCAAAAAATTTCTTTCGTGCAGCTAGGTTGTCATGTTTTTGGCGATCTTTTCGAGTAGTTTTATCATCAAAATGCAAATTGTTTAATATTAACGTAGGAACTTGTCAATTGGTATCTCCATTGACATCCCATTGCTTCTAAGGTCAGCAGCATTTTGGTGGTTTTGGTTTTGGTAACACCGGTTTTGATTCTAGCGTAAAAGTGCAAACACTCTGTCTACACCGCTGTTACACTTAAATTATATAAATATTATCTAATATTATCCTAATTGTTGTCGTCCCACACATGTTTCCGTTTTGACACCCATACATTTATGTCTTCTATATTGCATGCTCTTTTTATGTTTTCTCTCCCTATCCAACAGACTTTTGCCTGATATTCGTCGGAGTATTTTCATCTCTGTTGTTTCTAGTAGTCGTCTCATGTTTGATGTGTCAGGTCTTCCCTCCGGCGTGTATGTTAATATAGGTCTAATTGCTACTTTGTTGATTCTTGTTTTTGTGTCTTAGGCGTTTTTTCTTCCAGATTGTGTCGTTAAGAGATCTCGCTGCTTTACTTGCTTTTAAGCTTTGTTGTCGTACTTCTTCTTCAACATCTCCGTAACCAGTTATATCTATTCCTATATATCTAAACTTATCTAAACTTCCTGCTTTATTATTTTCCAATCAATTTCGATTTTACATGGTAGTGGGTATTTGGATACATGGTAGTCGTCATACATTTGGTTTTTTTCCGCTGATATTCATCATCGTTGGCTCTACAACCCATGGTGGGTCTTAGCCTGCTCAAGGATAAGTCTTTATTCCTCCTATTCTTCGCCTTGGCTTTACAGTTTCCTACTCCCAACATTCTCAAGTCTTCCTCAACCTGATCCTTAAATCGTGCTCTGAGCCTGCCTCTCCTTCTCACTTCATCTATTCTTTGGTTATAAATATGTTTTGGCGGTTTCATCTCATTAATTCTCTCTATGTAACCTAACCACCGCAGCCGGCTTATTTTAATGGTCCTAATAATATCCAGTTGTTTAAAAAGAAAGGATTTTAACCAGTTTTTTACATATTATGGTGCAGAAACACCGACTCTAACAAAAAGAACAATAGATAAAATGAGAGTTGCACAACGCGCTATGGAAAGATCAATGTTAGGTATTACCATCAGAGATAAAGTACCAAACCTGGAAATAAGAAGAACAACAGAAGTCACAGATGCAGTTGAAAAAATAGCCATGGCTAAATGAGCTTGGGCCGCACATGTTGCCAGATTAACGGATGAAAAATGGACCAGAAAGATTCTGGAATGGCGACCAAGGCAAGAGGCATATCGAAGCAGAGGACGACCACCGACTAGATGAACGGATGATATCAAGCGCATGACCACAAACTGGATGCAAGAAGCTCAAGATAGAAAAGGTGGAAAATTTTACGGGAGGCCTACGTTCAGCAGTGGACAAATATAGGCTAACTGATGATGACCAATATCAAGTTTGTCATACAGGCAGTAAAGTTCGAAATTATAGCGTCTACGCCATAATCCGCCCTCTTGTACTCTTCCATAGATATGCCGAAGGATTTTACGTTCAAAGCATCTTAAACGTTCTTCATCTCTCTTTGTCATCGTCCGTGTTTCCGACGCGTAGGTGAGGATGGATGGTGAGGAGGTTTGATAAGAGTTCTGTATAACACTAGTTTAGTTCTTTTTGTAACTAGGCTTGTTAAAATTTGTTTTTAAACTATAACAGGCTCTATTTGCCAGATATATCCGTCTGTTAATTTCTGCACTTACTGCATTACTATGCTGATATTCTTTTTCCTCAAGTGCCATCTCCGCGGCGGAGGTCGGCAATCATCATAGCTATTCGGAGGAGGCATGGGTACAAGAGAGGCATTATTTGCGTTGACGGTACTCTTGCAGAAATGTCGGGAATATAACAAGAGTGCATATGTATGCTTCATAGACTTTAGGAAGGCCTTTGACCGAGTGCAGCATATGAAGTTAATAGATGAATTAAAAAACATCAATTTAGACAAAAAAGACATTGAGTTTATTAAGGCTATATACTGGAACCAGAAAGCAGTAGTAAAGGTGAACGATATAGAAACAAATAATATACCGATTGCGAGAGGGGTTAGGCAAGGATGCGTCTTGTCTCCAACGCTTTTCAACGTGTACTCACAGGCCATTTCAGAAAAGCCTTATGGGAAAGAAAAGAGGGAATAAGAATTGGTGGAGAAATCATAAACACCATGAGATTTGCAGATGACACGGTAATTATGGCTGAGAGTATCGAAGGTCTACAAACTTTACTAGATGCAATAAATAGTGAATGCATTCAAATGGGACTTGACATCAACACAGATAAGACCAAATTTATGATAGTATCAAGGAGTCCAATAAATAATGAACAACTAACTCTTGGTGGACAGCAAATAGAGAGAGTGACAAAATATAAATATCTGAGAGCTCACATCAACACAGAATTAGATCCAGACCAAGAGATCCGGCTACGAATAGAAATGGCAAGGGCAGCGTTCTTAAAA